AGGAAGTGACCCTTCTGTGTCCGCGGGGACTGGCGGCAGGGTCAGGCGATGGCCCCGGTGTGCGATCGCGCCCCAGTGCCGGCACCAGCGGCTCGGTCTTCCTGGGCTCTGGGTTTTATTAACTGACCAGTTAAAACGAGAGCGCCTCGGGGATGACCCTCCTCACAGGGCCGAGTAGAGGAGGAGGCCTTCAGACAGGGCCTGCGGCCAGGAAATCGGGCTCCCCACGGAGACCGTGTCTCACCGTGGGCCGGGACGTCAGTCTGTGAGCTCACTGCTCGGCTGGACCGGATGGCCCGGCACACACTTGGAGCTCACCTAACTGTCCCGCACCACCCAGGGACCCTCAGATTCCACCCCAGGGCACCCCGCCAAGCTGGGAGCAGGGCCAGGCTTACCAGCCGGCGCTGGGGCTTGATGAGGGGCCGGTTGATGCCGTTCATCTTGTGGTAGAGGCCGCAGGCGTTGCACAGGTAGTGTCCCGTCCCATCCCTCCTCCACAGCGGGGTGGACATGGCCCCGCAGTTGACACACTCCCTGCCTTCCGAGAAGTCGTCAAACATATCTACTGGGTGAGGAAGAGGGCAGAGAGGACCGAGGATTACTGCCTTGCTTGGCTGCCAGGTCCTCCTGCCTCTGGCTCAGCACCTGGGGCAGTGGACAGAGCACACAGATACCACCAGATGCGCAGGGCTCCGGAAAGGAAAGGAAGAGTCACCAGCTGCCGGCCGGGAGGGGGCAGCTGGGTTGCAGTCCAGAGCTTGTCTTGGGGTCCCTGAGGGTGGCGCTCCAGCCCCCAGATCGCCCTAACCAGAGAGCCTTCATGTGTTGCATGTTTGCCAAGCTGGGGTCAAAGTGTGTAATTTTTCTTTTTCATTGAATAAAAAATAAAACAAACCGCAGCAGAATACTGAGAATGACAACAGTTAATACACTGTGTATCATTATCTTCAAAGTAGTTACTCAGAGTGTAAGACATTAACCCAAAGATTCTCTTACAAAAAAGAAACTAATCGTAATGTTACAAAACTTTCCCTTTTTTTTTCAGTTTTTTGAGACAGGGTCTCATTATGTATTCCAGGCTGGCCCTGAACTCCTGGTGATTCTCCTGCTTCAGCCTCCCAAGCAGTGGGATTACAGGCATGTGCCACAACACCTGGCTTGGTTCCAGACTTTCTTTTTAATAAACTAAGAGAAACTAGCAGTACAAATGGAACAACTCAGCATACATATTAAAATATTTTCAATAAATGGAATAGGTAATTTGGGGAACCATCGGAATTCCTCTCCAATCAAAAAATAGGCAACTGAAATGAACAGGCACTTCTCAGAAATACAAATGGTCAATAAATAAATACATGAAAAAATGTTCAACATCACTGGCCATTAGAGAAATGCAAATCTAACTATATAATTTTGAGCCTTTTTCCCTTAAAACCAAAGTGTTTCCTGCGGCACTGGGGATTGAACCTAGGACCTCGCACATGCTAGGCCATGTGTCCTACCCATCACTAAACTTGTGACACATTCCCAGTCCTTGGGCTTTTACCTACTGTCATTCGATAACTACTCTTTATCTCATTACTGATTTTTGTTTTGAAAATGCTGTTCGTTGTGTAGGTAAATCTGTATGCTTCTGGTTATTCCTTAGGACAGTCTCCTAGAAGAGGATTTCTAGGTCAAAGGGGCTGGGTTCCTTTACCTGTGGCACTGGGGATGGAACCGGGAACTCACGAACGCTAGCTAGGCAAGCGCTCCACCACTGAGCTCCACTTGTGCCCTTTCTAGTCGGGTCCCAGACTGCTCAGGCCGGCCTCAAACACGTGGCCCTCCTGCTTCAGCCTGGAGTGATGGGCACGTGCCACGACAGCCAGCTATTCATGTCCTTGGCATTTTCAGATTGCCTTGCAAAACATGCTCAGTTCACTCAGTTTTCCTACTCTCACGTATCCCTGCGATCAGCTGCATCGGACAGTATTTTCCCTGGCTCACTGGGACAGTGAGATACACATCACAAGCAGCAGCACACCGGGGGTGGCCAGCTGTAAGCATCCACCTTCCATGCTGCAGAACGCCGCCAGCGCCTGTCCCTCCCGCCTCACTGCCCTTTCCCTTCCATGTCTGCAGTGTTCCAGTGGACAGACTTGTCGAGTGCCCTTCTCACTGCCCGGGCTGCTCACTGCCTGTGATCTGTGCAAAGCCTGACTCAGAACTCCCCAGAGTCTCCGACTCCGAGCTGCCTGAATTTTCTGTCCCTAACTAAACACAGCCACCTCAGATTGCAGATTGTCCTTGCCCTTCACCGGAAGCAGGGGTCGCTCCACCTCCGGAGAGTGGGAGCTCTGTCCCAGGCAGGGTTTAAAGCATGCTCCCCTCCAATCCCTAGCCGGGGTTCAGCTGCACATTTTGCCACTTCAGAGGCCCTGCGCCCAGCTCCCAGCTCTGAGGGAACGTGGGCCAGGACAGGATGGGGGCCTCCCCCCAACTCTGAGTACACAAACAGTCACTTGCACCTGCAAACAGGTAGCTGTGTGTCCGCAGCAAGTAAACAGTGTGCAGGTGTGAGAGGCTGTTTGCTCAGGCCAGACGGCCAAGCACAGCCGTCACACATCACACGAGAGGCTATTTTTACACCTGGTCATGCTGAGGCCCTCCGCCAAGGTCACTTGCCTTCAGAAGTGACTCCTGTCCAGCGCTTCTCCCACCTGGACCTCCACAACAAGCAGGATGTCCCTCCACAGCCCTTGCCTCTGGCCTGTAGGTCCCACTCCTCTGACCCAGGCCCTCCCATGGGACCTAGCAAGACTAGGAGTTCACCGCTGCTCAGACCACGCAGCCCACCTAGAGGAGGAGAGCGGGCCTGTACTTGGTTTGCCACAAGCACTAGATGGCACCACAGTGCCAGAATTGAACCGAGACGCGGCACTCTGGCTTAGGTTACTCTTGGGACGGAAGACTTTTATATCATCTTCCCGGTTTAACCCTAATTCAACTCTTTTGTTTTGTTTTTCTTTATTGTAATTTTTTTCTTTTTTAATTCAGAAAGAGGTAGAAGAGGGTTGGGGATTTAGCTCAGTGGTTCCACCGCCTGCCTCACAAGGGCAAGGACCTGTTTTTGATCCTTGGTACCAAAAAAAAAAAAAAAGAGGCAGAATATAAAATGAATTCTTATTTGACCATCCCCCAGCTTCCAAGAGTTCGCAGCCGATCTTGTCTCTCCTCTATCTCTGCGCACTTCCCACCTTAACCTGTGTTACAGAAGAAAACCGTAGACTTTCGAATATCTTGTCATGATTAGCGCAGTCTACTCCTCTAACAGGCAAAGACAAATTCTCCTCCTTTTAGAGACAAGAGGACCAGCTTCTCTCCTACTTCTGGTTCACATCAACTCTATAGTCAGAAACCTCGTAGGGAGTCCCTCTTTTTTCCCTCTCCACACTTAGCGCTTCACAGGTGGGGACAGAAGCCCAGGATGCATCCCCTCTGCTGGTCACTCACTTCAGCTGCCTCAAGAGCCTAACACCACAGTTCGCCTCTAAGAACAGGTGACACACAAGCACCTATTTTACTGTCCAGCTGAAGTCACCGGAGGGTGGCAAGCGTGTATGGATCACCCACAAACTCTGGATTTACAGAAGACGCGCACTGCAGGCAGGCCAACAGGTCACAGGAGTGAGGCCAGCATCTCACTCTTGGACTGCTAAGGCCTCCCTGGGCCAGGTAAACCCGCATATCAATGGGTAACAGGGCTGCCTGGCCCCTTTGGGGCACAACCTCAGTGGAACTGGGCTTGGAGGAGGCTGATGCTGCGGTGTAGGATCAGAAGTGAGGAAATCCAATTCAGGTGGGAGCCCGGCCAGAGAGAAGGGTGGGTGTTAAACATCGGCCAAAGGAAGGGGACAGATGGGCGCACAGAAAGGCCCGGCTTCCCTGAGGAACCCAGGCCCACAGAACCACATCTCCCCACAACCACCTCCACCTCTGGTGCTGCAGATGTTTCCATATTTTCTGCCATAAAATCTTGCTAGCCAACAAATTCAATGCAATGTTACATAAAAATTTTAAGTGGTCATTAGAAAGGCAACATAACCATGGAGGAAATGCTTATCCTGTAATGATGAACTGGGAACCATATCACAGAAAAGTCATCTACACTGTGAAGGCAGCCAGGACTACCCGAAAGAAGCCTCTTCTTCAGCCAGATAAATTGTAGAGTTTTCTTCTGAAGAAACACCACCCCCTAATGATATAATTGCCTATTTTTAAACATTTGATAAAAACGAGAAATCTAGCCACCCCTAAACAACCTCCAATCCACAATAGGGAAGATGAAAATTTTACCCTTACATCTGAGGCAGATATTCTACAGCATCCTGAGCTGAGTGGAAATAAGAAAAGTCCAACCCTGCTGCCTAGCTGGGCGTGGCAGCGCACACCTATAACCCAGCTACCTGGGAGGCTAAGGCCAGAGTTTGAGGCCAAGCTCAAACATAATGAGGCCCTGTCCCAAGACAAAACCCGCTGTTGAGAGGAGGAGGTAACAGGCTCTGAGCCCCAAACCAGCCCCAATGTCTGCTGTGAACCTTGGGGACAACCACTTCTCCTCCACAAGAAATCGGTGGGTAAAGCATCCCAGGCCTTGTGAAGGCAGAGCCAGGCTCCAACTGGTGATGGCCCCACCACCCAGTGCTGGGCATGCGGGTGCATCCACCTGGTGGGGCAGTGGAGCCCACCCAGCAAGTGGGTCAGCATCACCCACTTTGGAAGGAAAGACTCCTAATAATAGTTGTAAAACACTCTGCAAATGAGAGGGGAAACTTACAACAATGGCCGTGGAGTGCTTCACAAACACCAAGGGAGATAAAGATGATGGATTATTGTTAGGAGACGGGCCCAGGGACGGAAGCCCAGGGACAAACCATGGGGCCTGGTTATTGGGGAGGGGCGAGGGCAGACAAAAGCACTAGGAGACTGGAGAATCTGACCTTTCCACAAGCCATGGGGGCCCTGCTCAGAACCGCACACTGCTCCCAGTGCTGACCGATTTGAGGCTGCAGGCCAGGGCCGACCCAAGCGAGGCTCCAAGAGGCTTCCCATGAGCATTAATCAATGGTTACTTTAGCAATCGAAAGCACAGAATGAAACGTTTCCTAACCCTAAGAATTTGGATCAAACTCTTACTGCTCTCCCGCGTCCTGCTTCAGATCCTTCTTTTAGGGCGGAAGCTTAGCTCAGTGGTAGAATGTCTGCCCAGTGTGTGGGAGACAGTGGGCTCTATCCTCAGGGCGGGCGCACACACACGGAAAAGAAAATAATTTTTGAGAGAGCATGAATCTAGCTTTCCGAAGTAGGGTGGATATTCCCAGGAATCACGGAAGATTGCTCCACCCAGGTGCCTGGAAGGAAACCAGGAGTCGGACGCCCCCAGTCCTGCCTTCCCTGCTGAGGACTGATGAAATCCCAGGCCTGGCTCGACCCCTCCTCGACCTCCTCCATCCATCTTGGGGACCCACCCACCTCGCCAGGCAAGGCGGGAAGGAGGAGATGTGGGGGAGGAGAGCAGGAGGAACGGGGGTGCCAGGGGCTAGGACCAGGGCTGACATCACTCTCCTGGCGCTGCCCAGAGTGGGATTTGTCTGCCGACTGCTGGAGAACAAGCTTGGCTGGTGGACAGCTGGGTGCCAGCAGGTGTCACAATCCCAGTCCTTCCCTGCTGTGGCTGCAGCCCTCTGGCCCTCCACTGGCTGGGCAGAGCCAGGCTTGGATCCCACGCCGGAGGGACAGGGCCCACACCTGCACGTGGAGGTGACAGGGCCTCTGACAGGTCCACTACCGCTCAGCCTGCCCTGCGGCTGGGCACACAGGAAGTTAGAAAACAGAAGCAAAATCTCTGCTCCACGGTGCACCGGCCTGGCTGGGGACCCACAGCTGACAATAATCCATGAAAGGTGACAAACCATGGAAGTCAGGGCTGAGGTCTTGCTTTTGTTGTCCGAGCTCACTCTGTCGTCTACTT